AACCCGAAACCCTGAACCCTGAACCCTGAACCCTGAACCCTAAACCTTAAACCCTAAGCCCAATCCAAGCCTGATTCCAACTCCTCAAGTCGCCCCACAAGAGCGCAGAAGAGTTTTAAGTTAACCCTCAACCCAAAACCCCAAACCACACCCTAAAGCCTAACCCCCTAGGACCCAGAGGAGGCCCTCACTCCCTTTTCTCAGGTTCAGGTTCCCTTAACAAGCAAGACCCCATAAAACCCTAAACCCTGAACCCTAAGTCCTAAACTCGGCCTAGGCCACCCCCCTACAGTTGGGGGGGGGCGCCCAAGCCCGATGGTGCAAGCCACCCTAAACCCAAGCCAAGCTTCTGGCGGTGTTTTGCTGTACCCCAATCACCCCAGGCCAGGGGGCTCCCAGACCCTGCTCCAGTAATTTTTGGAGCAGAACGGGTGCTCTTTTTCACAGCCCCTGGGACCCTCTGGACAACCCTGGACCGCCTCCCCGGACTGGAACCTTCCCCTTGGCTGCAAGCATATATTGGTGATGGAAGATGTTTTTTATTGGAAGTAAGCATTTGTCCTGAGTTTAGACCTAAACCCTAAAAGGAATAGGTTAGGGTGGCTTTGCCGCCTTGGACAGCATGGGGTGAGAGAAAGGTTTTAGATGGCCTTCCTGACGGGGTTTTCGAGCCTCTGCTGCACCCAAACCTTGACAGCATTTCCGTCCTTTTACAGCAAACCCTACACCCTAAACCCTAAACCCCACACCCTAAACCCTAAACCCTAAACCCTAAACCCTAAACCCTAAACCCTAAACCCTAAACCCTAAACCCTAAACCCTAAACCCTAAACCCTAAACCCTAACCGATGCCGAGGTGGACGCCCTCCTGGCCAAGGCCCAGAAGGAGTCCCCCCTGTCAGGGGTCCAAAGAAAGCCAAGAAAGACTTCAAGCCCCTCAAACCCTAACCCTAAGGCTCCAAGACCTCTTGTTATTGGGGCTTTAGGGGCCAAAAGGCCTTCTTCTGTAAGGGTTTCGGGGCTATTTTGAGCCTAAGGGTAAATCCCCAAATCTCTAAAACCTCAAAACCATCCAAACCCCTAAAACCCCCAAAAGCCCAAACCCAGAATCCCTTGTTTCTCCAAATCCCTCATTCCCTAGAACTCTGCAATCGCGTACCTCTTTCTTTTTTGCGGGGGCGGAAGGTGTTAGGGGTTCACGTTGGAACGCTTGAGCCCTTGAAAGTCGTCCACGTTTAAAGCAGAGGAGGAGGAGGCCGGCTTCAACCCTGCCGCGGGAGGCTTCGCCCTATCCATCCTGGAAAGGCCCTGGCGGGTCAGTAAAGCAAATCAGTGGTTCGGGTTTTGGTTTTGTTTTGGGAGTTTAGGGTTCAGGGTTTAGGGTTTAGACCCTCGGTGTGGGGTTGTTCCCTTAACCCTGATCCCTAAACTCTAAACCCTAGACCCTAAACCCTAAACCCTAACATCAGCTTGTCGTTCTCCTTCCCCGTGCTCTTCGCCCATTCTCCTGGCACGGGTCTCCGCCCCCAGAGAATCCCCCAGAGAATCCCGCAGAGGATCCTGCCTGAGAATCCTGCAGAGTATCTGGTTAAGGGTTGAGGGTTTAGGGTTGTGCCTGGCCTAAGAGAATTAAGTACACACATCTTCCGAGGTGCCGTCTCGGGTTCTGTTGCTTGGGAATACCATCGACGTAGACAGACCCCTGCATTGAGATGGGATGGTCGAAGCCTAAATTACGAGGACGCAGAGTAGGCCCGGATTCGCTTTTTCAAGGTTTGGGTTCCCTTATAAGCCCCTTTAAACAAAAAAGGGCGCCCTTTCTGTTCATAGGTTACTCTTGGGTCTCTTAATCAGGGTTTCGGGTTTAGGGGCTCAGTGCTTAGTAGGTATCCGAAATCCCAGGCTTGAAAGCAGGAGAGCCCTCAAGTTGAAAAACCTACCCCCCGAAACACCTAAACCTTGTTTTCCCCCAAAGCCTGAGCACCTTGAACCCTAATTAAACCCGAGACGCTCAACTCAAATACCCTCTAAACCCTAAACTCTAAGCTCTAAACCCTAAACCCTAAACCCTAAATCCTAAACCCTAAACCCTAAACCCCAAACCCTAAACCCTAAACCCACTATACCCTAAACCCACTACACCCTAAACCCACTACACCCTAAACCCAAAACCCTTTAAACACCCAACCTGGCAGGTTGGAAGAGCTTCCCTTCCAGACGCGAATGCCCAAGCTGCTCCGCCTTGTAAAGGAGCCCTCAACCCTGCTTCTTGGTTCTTGTAGGGAAGTAGTTGAGGGTGTACGGTTGGGGGGATGAAAGGTACCGACCTCCTCAAGTCTCTTGAGGGATCTTGAGGGTTTAGGGTTTAAGGTTAAGGGTTTAGGGCCTCAAGCCACTCAATACCCTGTAAACCTTGCACCCTTCGAACCTAAACCCTAAACCGTAAACCCTATACCCTAAACTCATGGGTTCCCCTACTACACCCCCCTCTACACTACCCGGACTCCAACGCTTCGATGAAAGGCCAAAGACAACGCGACGCGGCCCTCTCATGTCCAATGGATACCGACGCTGAAAACCCTTTGCTCAAAAGCGGACGTGAAGAACAAGAAGAAGAGGGAGGCGGAGTTGAGAGAACGCCTGGCAACGGCCAAGGGCCTAGGGACTTGCCTGCCACAATCAAGGCCATTTAGGGACAATTTTAAGCCTGATTAAGGTTTGTTTTAAAGGCGGGAACCTAGGGGGGGTAGGATAGACGAATTTCAAAGAAGGGCAATTCAGACTTTAACGTTTGCTAGTGATCTTTCTGATGATGTTTATGCAGATGCGAATGCTAATTTAGTATCTATTCGGAAAAGAAGAGATGGAGTAAATGCGATAACATAATGGTTTGCAGGCAGAAGAAAAAGGACGTAGTCTTAAGCAATCTTTGTTTGAAGAATACAAAACCATGATAGGAAATGCATCGATTTCGACAAGGCTTGCAGGGTTGCCCAAAAAAAGCTAATGCAATCATCAGATCACTTTGAGGATTTATCATCCTGAGAACCTCAAGCCCTATAAGCCCCTTGTGCCCAACGAAGCGTGCAAGCCCTATAAAGCCCATGAGCCCAAAGAGACCGTGTAAACCCTTTAAACCCCATAAGTCCTATAAGCCCAATAAACTGAAGCTAAACCCTATAAACCCAAGAGACCCTCTAAACCCTAGAAGTCCTCTAAGCCCAATAAACCGAAGATAAACCCTATACTGTAAACCCCACAAACCCTTTACATCCTCTGTCAACCCTGTAAACCCTAGAAGCCCAAGAGTCCCCATAAACCCCAATTGTGCTGGAGGTCTGCCTGACTGGAGGCTTGAACATCTGAAGTGAAGCCTGGGGTTTCGGGAGTCCCTACCCTAAACCCTAAACCCTAAACCCTACCACGTCGTGCTCGTCGAGAAGCTTGGCCGCCTACCTCCTCCTGGTCGCCTACCTCGTGGTGGTGTTTGTCCTCTGACATGAAACGGTGCTTTGGATGTTGGATGTTGGAGAAATGACGGTTCTGCTGAAGAACCCCCGCCCCCGCCAAAAAACAACAAATGAATGAAAGCTAGTCATCCCTATACTGCCCTTATCAGGAAGACTATGTTTTTTCCTTGATTTTTTTGGGGGGGGGGTTCTTAAACAAATAGTAGCTCCTGAATATGGGGTAACAAATAGTAGCTCCTGAATATGGGGTGCCTCTTCTTTGCCCGGGCTTCTTCGTTTGGAACGGAGGAGGAAACGGAGAATGGTGTTGGTGGAGGTGGATGTGCTACCTGGAGGTGATGCTCAGCGGGGTCAAACGGGGTTCCGCGGGGGGGCGGGCGGGGGCGGGGAATGTAGCCTAAGGTTCCCTTTTCCTCCCCACTACAACATGAAACTCCCTGAGCTTCCCTAGGTTCTCTAGATACGCACCCCCTCTGAAAAAAATGACCCTATAAACGACTGGTGGGCTGGAGCGCTTAATAAAGATCCTGAAAACCCTAAAAAAACCCAAAACCCTAAAAACCTAAAGACCTAAGCCCTAAACCCTGCGCGAAAGGTCGTAAGCACCAAAAGCCCTAAACCCTCTGAAACCCTAAGCCCTAAACCCTAAAAAGCGTATGCACCAAAAGCCCCTAAACCCCAAACCCCAAACCCCAAACCCCAAACCCCAAACCCCAAACCCTAAACCCTAAACCCTAAACCCTAAACCCTAAACCCTAAACCCTAAACCCTAAAACCCTAAACCCTAAACCCTCTACCCTCTTAAGCCCCTAGACTGAACCAGGAGGATGGGGTCGTAGCGCCCATGCTCCGGGTTTTTAACGAGGCGTTTCTGAAAATCGCCGGGGGCCCCGGGGAAATTTATGGGGGTTTGGGGTTTAGGGTTGAGGGTTTCGGGTTTGGGGTTTACGTTTAGGGTTTGGGGTTTAGGGTTCATGGTTTGGGGTTTAGGGTTTAGGGTTTAGGGTTTAGAGGTAGGAGGCAGTTGTACCTGGCCGAAGCACCACGTGGATCCAGTAGACTTGAGGTTGAGAGGGGATTCTACCCTGTGTGCCCTGGTTCGGGATCACTACAGGTCAAAACCCCTATTGCCTAAAACCCGAGACACCTAAACCGCAAGACCTGAACGTCTTCAAATGCGATGGAGGTTTGAGGCGAGGCAACGCGTCCGCTTCTGAGCGTCGATTCCCAAACCCGAAGGCCTAAGGCCAGACCCAAAGACCACACTCTACTCCTGGACTCAGTCCTTTATCCTGAATCTACAGTGAAGTGTATGCTAGTATTGGCCCTTCACTTTCTATTTGGGGAGAAAATAGGAACGTTTGCCGGCATATCAGAAGTGTATATAAGGATCCCCAGTTAAGGGCTTTTGTTCTGGGGCCAATACGTCAAACCTGAGCCTCACAGGATAACTCGGGAACATTGGGTTTAGAGCTTACGGCCCCGCCGCCCCCCAACGATGAAGTCTTAGCGCCCCTCTAGCTTTGAGCCATGCCCACGAAACCAAGAACCAGCTAACACCCTCAACCCTAAACCCCCAACCCTAAACCCTAAACCCTAAACCCTAAACCCTAAACCCTAAACCCTAAACCCTAAACCCTAAACCCTAAACCCTAACCCTAAACCCTAAACCCTAAACCCTAAACCCTAAACCCTAAACCCGAAGCCCGAAACCCTAAACCCTAAACTCAAGACTTCAGGCCGCCCCCCTACAGGGGGGGTGGCCGGCGCCTAAGCCCCTTGACCTCGATGGCGCAAGGTGACCCAGGTCGTTCGCCCGCCCCTTCGGAAGGCCAACTAACTCTTCGAGTCACTTAAACCTCTGGGTTCCAAGTTGTGTGTCTAAGCAGCTGACAAGCAGAGCTTAAGTGAACACCTGGTGGTGTCATTCTGAGCTTCCCAAGTTATTTGTCTAAACAGCTGGCAAGGCGAGTTTGAGTACCCGGCAGCCTCAGCCCCCCCAGCCCCCCCACCCAACCCCAGACCCAGCGCCAGCGGTTTAGGGTTTAGGGTTTAGGGTTTGGGGTTTGGGGTTTGGGGTTTGGGGTTTGGGGTTTGGGGTTTGGGGTTGGGGTTTAGGGCCCAACCCGCCAGCCCCAGCCCACAAGCCCCAGTGCCCCAGCCCCCCTAGCCACAGCCCCAGCCCCCACCCTTCTGTCAAAGTTCCACCCAAAGCAGAAACAAAAACTCACCCAAAACTTTCGCCCGAAACTTTCGCCCCAAACTTTCGCCCGACACTTTCGCCCAAAACTCCGGACCCAAACCCCATACAATTTCCATAACCCTAAACCCTCAACCCTAAACCCTAAACCCTGAACCCTGAACCCTAAACCCTACATGCAACTTAAACCACAAGTGAGGTGGAGAGCCAATATTGGGAGCTCATCGAAGAGAGGCACTTCCCCGACCAGATGACGGGCGAGATGTTGCAGCTACGGTGCATTACATATATAGTATAGGGTTTACCCTAAACCCTAAACCCTAAACCCTAAACCCTAAACCCTAAACCCGAAACCCGAAACCCGAAACCCTAAACCCTAAACCCTAAACCCTAAACCCTAAACCCTAAACCCTAAACCCTAAACCCGAAACCCTAAACCCTAAACCCTAAACCCTAACCCCTGAACACATCCCGAGGTTGCTGAGTGCCACGATTGCCAGGGCACAACCTCCCCATGAGCTCAAGGACTTCTCCTGCCCTTTGGCTTGCCTTCATTGGGTTTAGGGTTTAGGGTTTAGGGTTTAGGGTTTAGGGGTTCAGGGTTCTGTGTCCCTAAACCTCAACCCGGAGTACAGGAGCCCAGTGAAGTACCAACACTATCAGTTGCAGCCCCCACGTATTGCACTATGAGCTTCCCAAAATTCCCATGCTTATTCGGAGGCTCCCCCCCCGCCCTCCCCCACCCCAAAACCCCCCCCCCCCCCCCCCCCCCAACCCCCCCACATCACGCTGACATTACATTACACAGTCTTACGCCCTGAGTGACTCATTAAGCGTTGGGTGTTTCGGACGGGCTGACCTTGATCGAACACTGTGCGCACAAGACGCGCAGGGGGGGGGGGGGGGGGGGTTGTTAGTGATGACTGGATTCGGGTTGTCGGGTTTAGGGTTCAGGGTGTAGTGCTGGGTTCGGCGATTATTGGGTGCGCTTTGCGCTTTCCCTACACCCTAACCCTTTTGGGTGTAGGGGTGGAGCCCTAAACCCTAAACCCTGAACCCTGAACCCTAAACCCTAAACCCTAAGCCCTAAACCCTAAACCCTAAACCCGAAACCCTAAACCCTAGCGCGCCGAGCCAGGTCTCATGCAGCTGGTGCATGCGCCTGGGCTGCCACACTTTAACCACTCCAATCCCTGGGGGGCTTCGGGTTTAGGGTTTAGGGTTTAGGGCTTGGGTTGAGGGTTTAGGGTTTAGGGTCTAGGGTTCAGGGTCTACACCCCGAAAACCTCAACTGTCAAGTTTTTTTGGTTTCTTTTCCCTACACTACAGAGGCCATGTTCAGACGGGGTTTTTACGATAACAGGGGACCCCAAATATAAACCCCCCAATGGTAGAATCTCTTTATAATAAGGACCCCAATAAGGTACCCCTAGAATCGTCAACCCCTAAACCCCAAACCCTACACCCCAAACCCTAAACCCTAAACCCTAAACCCTAAACCCTAAACCCTAAACCCTAAACCCTAAACCCTAAACCCTAAACCCTAAACCCTAAACCCTAAACCCTAAACCCTAAACCCTAAACCCTAAACGGACGAGTTCGCAGGGGGGAGGGAGGTAGGGATGAAGGGCAGGGAGCGACTTAGGGAAAAGACAAACAGACCGGTCCCCGGGTGCTTAGTAGGGAATGAGGGAATGAGGGCCCAAAATATACCCTTTAAGGGCTTATGTAGGGTTTAGGGTTTAGGGTTTAGGGTTTAGGGTTTAGGGTTTAGGGTTTAGGGTTTAGGGTTTAAGGGCTTATGTAGGGTACCTCACTCTTTCATTCCCTGCTATGAACTAGCCGGTTGTTCATGGTTCAGGTGTCTAGGGCTGAGGACAAGCCTGAGCCCCTTTGTAGCATGCTAGGCTCTAAACCCCAAGCCCCAAACCAACCCCAAACCCTAAACCCCAAACTCTGAAGCCTGAAGCGCGCACCCCTAAACCCCAAGCCCTAAACCATAAGCCGTATAAGCCCGAAGCCCTAAACCCTAAACCCTAAGCCCTAAGCCCTAAGCCTCAACCCTAAGCCCTAAGCCCTAAACCCTAAACCCCAAACCGTAAACCCTAAACCCTAAACCCTAAACCCTGAACCCTAAACCCTAAACCCTAAACCCTACAGCCCTGAGGAGAGGGAGGCCGAGCTGGAGGGGACCAACTACCTGGGCGGACAGGTCGTGGAGTCCTCCCGGCTCCAGAAATGCCGCGCGGATTTGGGGTTTAGGGTTTAGGGCTAGGGTTTAGGGTTTCGGGTTTAGGGCTAGGGTTTAGGGTTTAGGGTTTAGGGTTTAGGGTTTAGGGTTTAGGGTTTAGGGTTTAGGGTTTAGGGTTTCGGGTTTAGGGTTTAGGGTTTAGGGTTTAGGGTTTAGGGTGCGGGGTTTAGGGTGCGGGGTTTAGGGCTTAGGGCTTAGGGTTTCGGGTTTAGGGTTTAGGGGTTAGGGATTCAGGGTTTAGGGTTTAGGGCTTTGGGGGGTTTAGGGCTAGGGTTTAGGGTGTTGGCAGGTTTAGGGTTTAGGTCCTTGGGCGGTTTAGGGTTTAGGGCTTTTGGGGGTTTAGGGGTCAGGGCATTGGAGTTTAGGGCTTTAGGGCTTTGGGTTTAGGGCCTTGCAGGTTTAGGGTTTTGGGCTCTGGGGGTGGAGGGTTTAGGTGCTTAAGCGTTTGGAGGGTTCAAGGCCTCAGGGGAAAGGGTGTAGAATAGGTTTTGAGGGCTTCGGAGGGTTTCGGGCTTAGGGTTCTGTTCAAGGCGCCAAAGGCGTGCTGCGCGGGATTCGGTTCAGGGTTGGGGCCCTACGTTCTAAGCCACACAACCTCAGCAACCACCACGTGGAGGCCAGCACCTTCAACATTTCCAGCAGCCGCAGCGGACCCGAGCTCAGCTCCCTCAGGTCTTGCGGATGATGACGGCAATGATCCAGCGTCACGAGGACGCCTTGCGGACCATGCCCCTGGACAGGGTTTAGGGTTTAGGGTTTAGGGTTTAGGGTTTAGGGTTTAGGGTTTAGGGTTTAGGGTTTAGGGTTTAGGGTTTAGGAGTACATGATGCTCATCCAATCGGGGCCGGGATCCTATCTGCCGACGATGGTGGAGACCAGCGCAGCATGGCACAAACGGCTGCAGTCCAACCAGGTCACTGGCCCGAGATTGGCCAAGGCTGCGAACTTGTTTTCATGGCCTTGCCAGCTCGAGTGGAGAAGCAAACCAAGCGCCCCAAACCCTAGAGCTGTAAACCATCTAAGGGTCATGGCATGGTCCGGAACAGAACATGGCCCCTTACCTGTCTCGTCTGAAGTATGCACCCTTCAGAAGTTGTACAAGGTACGTAAGGGATGAATAAGGGTTCCCAAATCTGAGATCTCATAGCAGGGGCACTACACCTTGTCTTAAGATGGTATATTTCTGATCAAAATCGCCCTCCCCCACCCCCGCCCCCGCCCCCCCACCCCTTGCACACATCCGTGCAATTCCTGGGACCCAGAGCAGGCCGTCGTTCCCTCTTTCATTTTTTCACGGGTTTAGGTTCACTTACAAGCCCCTTTCAACCAAAAAGGGTACCCTTTTTTGATTCCGACGTATTCTTGGATCAGACCCTTAAGCCCTAAACCCTAAACCCGAAGCCCTAAACCCTAAACCCAAGCCCTAAACCCTAAACCCCAAACCCCAAACCCCAAACCCCAAACCCTAAACCCTTGCTGAAATCTAAGGCCTGGAGTCCGCACCAACCACGATCTTCATGACGGTGGTGATCCTGGCCAGCGCCGTGATTGTCCAGTATGAGGACCCTTAGGGAGCTCAAAGTAATGACCCTAAACCATCCAGCCTAAACCCTAAACCCTACATTTAAGAGCCTCCAGAGGGGGTGGGGGGGGGGGGTAGGGTTTTTCCCAAAAGAGGCCCCTATGCCCTGTGCGAAACCGCCTATGGTCCATGAGTTTACGCAGTGTGGGTGGCCTGTTCCTCCACGGAAAAGCTGCCGGGTACCCCCCCCCCCCCCCCCCCCCCCCCCGCGTTTTGGGGGGGTCTGATCTTTGCATGTTCGTATTTTTCGTACATCGGCAGCAGTCAGTAATCTCAGACTCCATGTGCTTTCTCTTTGCGAGGTAGAGCCTTACGTCACGTTCAAAGAAAATCAAGTGGAGGAGTTGTGCCGCTTTCCATGCAATGGGCGTAGTGCCCCGGCTTTTGTAAACAGTCGCCGTGTTTTTGCGCGCGGCCCGCGGTGCTTTCTGTCCACAGGTGATTTGCAAATCCGGTATTCAATGGTGTTGGCGGCAGCTCGCAGGTGTGCTGTCCAGGACCGACAGACTTTGGCCAGGACTGGATTTGCAGGGGCTTGTTGTCCTTGGTCGAAGAGTTGGGCCCGTCCTTGCGGCAAGATGGTGACCGCGGTGGCGAGTTCAACGCAACAACCCCGCTCTGTCAAGTCTAAGTTTCACAAATCCTAGCTGTCATGCCCGTGGCGTGTGCAGTCACCCTTGCTGCGCGGTTGGGTCGCGCAAGCGCCCGAGTGAGCCAAGCAAGCATCAAAATAGTCCCTTTGGGCTTATTGCTTACCAATGCCATAGGAGGGCATTGCCGGGCACATAGGGCTTTGACTCCAAACTGCCATGGGTCCAGGCCCGCTGCCTCGCATCAAGGTGGGTTGACTCAATTGGAATGGAGCTTTTGAAGGTGTGCCATTGCGTTCCACGCGCAAGTCTCATGGTACGAGTGCTTGCGTGGCGTGAACTGTGTTTCCACGAACTGTTTTTTGATTTCAGTGCGGCAGCAGGGCGCGACGCTGGAGGCGTGGACGGTTGAAAAGGGGAGACAGAGGGCTGGAGGCTGTGCGAGAGCCGAGATGCGGACAGCTTGTGAGCCCTTGTTGCACACTGACCTTGTCTTGCTGTGCCAGATTCTCAGACTCACAGCCCCCAAGTGCCCAAATCTGCGAGCTTTTGATGATTGTTTTAAATTTAGTGTTTGGGTCTCTGAGCGTCTAGGCATCTCAGTTCTTCAGTGTCTGAGTTCCTGGCCTCATAGTCTCCGTGTCCGAGTGTCTGAGTGCCTTGCCTCATCGTCTCAGTGTCTGAGCTTCTAGGTTTCTGAGTGTCTGGCGTGGTGTTGGTCTGGATGTTTGCTTGTCCGACTGCTTGGTGCCCAGCCTATATAAACATCCCTTCCCGATTGAATCTGCGCGTCGGAGCATCCATGCTCGACCCACGGTGAGAAATGAGCCACAGGCTCATTCATGTGTTTTGGGAATGTCATGAAAACATCATGCGAGCACTGTGTTTGCAAATGGGCGGGGGCTGCGCCCCCCCCCCCCCCCCCCCCCCCCCCGCTGTTTTCAGCCGCGCAAGCTTGTTTCAAAGCATATGACCCCCAGCGTACGAGTCTTTTCGAACCCCATCACGCGAGCACTGTGTTTGCAAAAGGGAGGGCTGGCCCCCCCCCCCCCCCCCCGCCCGCCCGTGTGTTAAACCCGCGCAAGCTTGTTTCAAAGCATATGAATCGTTTCAAAGCATACGAACGATTGAAATCCATGATGCGAGCATTGTGTGTGCAAATGGGGGGCTTCAAAGCATGTGAGTCCTGAAGGGAAACCCAACATGCGAGCATTGAGTTTGCAAATGGGGGGGGGGGGAGGCTGCGAACCCCCCAACCCCGGCGCTTTTTTAAGCCGTGCAGGCTTCCGAGCAAACAAAAGATTTCCTACGGATTAATCGTACGGAACAACACAAAAAGACACTCTTACCGTGGGATTTCTAGGGCTTAGGGGTATTATAGTATAATGAGAAAGGGGCTGTAAGGGAATACAATTGGTAATCATTAGCGTTTAGGGCTCAGTCTCTTGGCGTATCGAGGGCACCCGCGCGAAGCTGCGCAGTCACTGCAGGCGTCAGCCCCGGGCTCCTTGAAATCGAAGCCGAGCCCTGGAAATGAAGACAAACCCACACCCTTAACCCCAAACCCTAAACCCTAAACCCTAAACCCTAAACCCTAAAACCTAAACCCTAAACCCTAAACCCTAAACCCTAAACCCTAAACCCTAAACCCTAAACCCTAAACCCTAAACCCCGAAAGCCTAAACCCCAAACCTCACACCCTAAACCCCAAACCCTAAACCCTAAACTTTAAACCCCAAACCTCAAAGCCCAAACCCCAAACCCCAAACCCCAAACCCACCCTAATACCTAAACCTTAAACCCTAAACCCTAAGACCTAAACCCTAAACCCTAAACCCCAAGCCCTAAACCCTAAACCCTAAACCCTCTCTACCATATATATTTAAACCTTAACTGAATTTCAGAATAAGCCGCTTTATTTTCGGAATATGGCCGCTTTATTTTCAGAATAAGGCCGCTTTATTTTTAGAATAGCGCCAAAATCAGGCTAAAGGCCAAACAAGGCCGCTTTATTTTCAGAATAAGGCCGCTCTATTTTCGGAATAAGGCCGCTTTATTTTCGGAATAAGGCCGCTTTTCTTTCGCAACAAGGCCGCGTTATTTTCAGAATGAGGCCTTTTTTTTGGAAGAAGACCGTTTTTTTTTTCAGAAAGAGGCCACTCTATTTTTAGAATAAGGCCGCTCTGTTTTCAGAATAAGGCCTATTTTTGCTTTCTCAATGTTGTGGGATTCTCGGGGTGGGTGGGTGTTATATCTGAGCCGTAAATGAAGCCATACCATAAAACTGCTCGACCCGGAGTGCTGAACCCTAAACCCTAAACCCTACACCCAGCAGCTTCAGAGAGACTGGCAGGATGGCTTTGCGGGCTCCGGAGCTGGCCTGGTCTTCATCGTCTTTGAGGCTCCAGTAAGTAGAAGGTTTGGGGTCTAGGGTCTAGGGTTTAGGGGCTAGGGTTCCACAGCTTGGCCCAAGGGTTTGGGGTGTTCAGGATTTAGGGGTTTAGGGGTGGAGGGTTTGGCAAGGGTGTAGGATTCAAGATCTCAGGGTTTAGTGGCTTCGGGCTTGTGGGTTCTTAGAATAAGGTTACGGTTTTGGGCTCAAGCGTCTCAAGCGTTTTGAGTTGAGTTGAAGGCCACCTGGAGAAGAGGCGTCTAGGGGTTGGAGGATTTGGGGGTTTACGGGAGTAGGGGCACCTTATTGGGGTCCTTACGAAAAGTGAATCCTACTATGTGGGCGTCTATTTAGGGGTCCCCTATTTTCGTAAACCCTAAACCCTAAACCCTAAACGCTAAACCCTAAACCCTAAGCCCCCATGTCCCCATGTAGCGTTTAAGACCTCAGGCGATCTTCCTGGCCATTTTTATCGGGGAGATGGTCTTGAAGCTCATCGTCCTTGGGTTGCGCTACTTTTCTGCTCCTCGTCCTGGGGAAGCTTGCGAGTTGGTGGTAGTGATTTGGGCCTCTATCTCCCCCTCATCCTAGGTAGGATAAGGGCGGCCCTTAAACGGGAACCCCTTCTGAACCCTCTTCTGGCTCTCTTAAGCAGGGACCTTATTCAGAGGGTCTATATCCCCAAGGGTCCCCCTAATCCTAAACCCGATCATATAGCCCTTAAATTCAAAACCGACTTCCCTAGTCTATGCGAGCCTCTTCAAGCTGGTGTCTCTCCCCCCCCCCCCCCCCCCCCCCCCCCTAGCAAAGATCCTAAAACCCTGCACCCTGAAACCCTACTTCCCCCTAGTTATACTGCCCCTCGATAATCCCTATGTAATGTTGGCCCTAAACTTTAAGCCTTAAACCGTAAACCCGAAACCCAAAAAAACCCAAACCCTGAACCCTAACCTCCCCAAGAAAACCTACTCTAAGGCATTGCGTTCGTTAGAGGTCCTTTGAGTTCCAGGGGTCCGGGCGCAAGGGAGGAGGGCTGGAGGCTTCCAGCAAGGATTTTTTGCCGAGCTCGGGGTTTAGAGTTTGGGGTTTTGGGTTCGGGGTTTATGGTTTTAGGGGGCCCAAAGCCCGCGACTGTAGCAAGGACAATAGGAGTCTTAAGGGACAAGGGGGTATGTAGCCCAAGGTACCCCCCTTACACCCCCTCCCCACCCCTAGAGGTTCCCCTTAATATACTCCTAAATATGGCCATTCTCTTCCCTTAGGGATCCTTAAAAAGACTGAAAAAGAGGCCCCAAAACCCAAGGGTACAGCCTTAAGGGTCCAAGGTAGAACCCCTAAACCCTGAACCCTAAACCCTAAACCCTAAATTCTAAACCCTGAACCCTGAACCCTGAACCCTGAACCCTAAACCCTAAACCCTAAACCCTAAACCCTAAACCCTAAACCCTAAACCCTAAACCCTAAACCCTAAACCCGGTAGAACCCCTAGAACGCAAGGACCTGTCGAACGTCTTCGACTTCCTGCTCGTGATCCTGGGAGTGGCTGGCTTGGTGCTGCAGATCGCCAGCCACTGGGCAGGATCCCGAAGCCCTAAACCCTAAACCCTAAACCCTAAACCCTAAACCCTAAACTCTAAACCCTAAACCCTAAACCCTAAACCCCTAAACCCCCTAAACCCCTAAACCCCAAACCCAAAGACTCCCTACAATTATCCTTAGAGGCTGTACAAAGAATCTATGGCAGTCGAAAAGGGGACTGCCTCGGATTCCCGAGCCCTCTCAACCCGTAAACCCTAAGACGCCCCTACGGGGGTTTAGGGTTTAGGTTTTAGGGTTTAGGGTTCCAACCTCCATCTCCAACTCCGAAAGCCACGCAGCGCGCAGCCCAACCCAAATTCAACACCAAAAGAGCCAAAGCCTGCTGTGCTGAACACTTGCTGGTCCTGCGTGGTATAGGACCCCAAAGGACAGCCAGTATGAATGCTGAGGTATCTCTTTATCCTTGCCATGTAGTTGTAATCTTGAAAATCGGCCCGCATATTCGGAACTTGAGGTAATAAGGTACCTCCCCTCAACCCTAAACCGTAAACCCTAAACTCTAAACCTTCAGCCCGACATAAGCCTTTGGCCCCTAGAGTCCTCAGCCCATTCTGAATTCCATTGCTCGGAAGGGCAGGCTTAAAGAGCCCTGTACAGTCGCCCATTCGTCAAGAAAGGGTTCCCCTTTTAATGTCAACTAAACCCTAAACCCTAAACCCTAAACCCTAAGCCCTAAACCCTAAACCCTAAACCCTGAACCCTGAACCCTGAACCCTGAACCCTGAACCCTGAACCCTGAACCCTGAACCCTGAACCCTGAACCCTCCGCCCCAACGGAGCGCGCCCCGCATTTTTCCAGGCTACGAGATGCACGGAACGGGCTCCACGACGCTGAGCACCGAGGGAAAGCCGCCCTGCTTGCCAGAAGGTTTCGGGTTTTCCGGTGTCGTGGTTTTGGTGCTTTAGGGTTGAGGGTTTAGGGGCTCAGGGGATTAGAGGTTTAGGGCTGTTTCGGTCTTGGGCTTTATGGTTTCTAGGTTTAGGGCGTTGATGCTTTCGGGTTTTCCGGATTTTTGGCTTTTGGGTTTTCCGGCTTTGGGCTGTTGGGGTTTTGGAGGTTTTGGGGTTTCGGGTTCTCCAGATTTCGGGGTTTTTGGTGTTTGGGGTTTTTAGGGGGGGGGGGGGGTTTTGGGGGTTTTGGGTGTTTTGGGTGTTTTCGGGTAGTTTTTGGGGGTTTTGGGGTTTTGGGTTTTTTGGGGGTTTTGGGGTTTCGGGGTTTTGGGGTTTCGGGGTTTTGGGGTTTTGGGGTTTTGGGGTTTTGGGGGTGTGGAGGCTTATAGAGGGCTTTAGGGCTTTTGGGTTTGGGGCGTTGTGGTTCCTAGGTTTTAGGGCGTTGGTGCTTTCAGGGCTTAGGGTTTAGGGTTTAGGGTTTAGGGTCTAGGGTTTAGGGCTTAGGGTTTAGGGTTTAGGGTTTAGGGTTCAGGGTTTAGGGTTTAGGGTTTAGGGTTGAGGGCTCCAGGGGGGGCCCCGGGGTTGATAGTTTGGGTTTATGGCCTAAGCAGTCGCGTTGCAGGGCAGCCCTAAACCCTAAGCCTCTAAACCTCCAAACCTCCAAACCTCTTAAACCTCTAAACCTCTAAACCTCCAAACCTCTACACCTCCAAACCTCCAAACCTCCAAACCTCCAAACCTCCAAACCTCCAAACCTCCAAACCTCCAAACCTCCAAACCTCCAAACCTCTACACCTCCAAACCTCTAAACCTCCAAACCTCCAAACCTCCAAACCTCCAAACCTCCAAACCTCCAAACCTCCAAACCTCCAAACCTCCAAACCCTAATCCGACAAACTTTAAATGCCCGTTCCCAGGCGATTCGGTCTTTTCACACTGCAAGGTCCCCTTACCGGCACCCCCCATGAGAGGCTTAGACCGAACAGTCAAAGGGAGGTTTAGGGTTTAGGGTTTGGGGTTTAGGGTTTAGGGTTTAGGGTTTAGGGTTTCGGGTTTATCATTAGTCCCCCTAAACGTCTCAAGCCCTGTATAAGCCCCTAAACCCTCAACCCCTCAAAAGCCTTAACCTCTCCATGCTGGCTGAGGCTTCTCCGGACAACGCAGACGTTCCGTGTGTTCCGGCTCTTCCGCGTGCTCCCCGGACGCAGTAAATCTAGGGTTTAGGGTTTAGGGTTTAGGGGTTTGGAGCCCGAGAGGCGTCTGCCAGGTCCCACCTCCGCTCCCCCCTGATATCACCAAAGTCTTGAAGCCCTCAACTCCGGATGTTCCCCCTTAGACTAATAGTCCTGAGACTAGGGAGTTCAGCACCCCCCCCCCCCCCCCCCCCGATTAGAATCCTAGGACCGGGAGTGGAGTAGGCCCCTTTTTCCCTTTTTAGGATTGGGGTTCCCCTATACTCCCCTTAAAGCCAAAAAGGGTACCCTTTTTATTCCTAGGTTCCGCCCGGGTCTAGAATCCCCATGACGGACTGTTAGTATAAGGGTGAACATCCCAGCCCTCAACCATAGACCCTAAACCCATGGAACCTCAAGCAGGGCTGCATCCTCCGCTTTTCCGTGAAAGAAACTCTGCACCTCTGCACGTCTACAGACTTCAAAAACGCCAAGCTCTCAAACCCTAAACCCTAAACCCTAAACCCTAAACCCTAAACCCTAAACCCTAAACCCTAAACCCTAAACCCTAAACCCTAAACCCTAAACCCTAAACCCTAAACTCCCAAGACCCTAAACACTCAGCCCTAAGTCCCTGCCAGGTTCCGGCTCTTCCGCATGTCCTCCGTCTTGAGAGCCAAGCTCTCCAGGAAGGAGCCTTGGCTACAGACTCCTTTCAGGGTTTAAGGGGTTTAGGGTTTAGGGTTTAGGGTTTAGGGTTTAGGGTTTAGGGTTTAGGGTTTAGGGAATTATGTCTTACTTCTGCGTACATGAACCTGAGGGAAGCAGGAGAAACCCATGTCAGGTTCATGGCTCTAAGGGATGTATAGTTGGGACCCCAAAGGCACCTTTTGCCCGTTACCCCTTTCGAGGCTTTAGGCTTGTAGAGTTTACATAGCGTTTAGACTCTGCATTGAAGCATTAGTTTGCCCTGTGAAGCCCCTGGCTGCACCCTAAGCCTCACTTTCTGGGTTTGCTCGAAGGGTCTGTCGGCTCCCTTGTAGACCCTGTTATGCAAGAAGTCGAAGCCCTAAGACCCGCAATCCTCAAATTCCTTCGCCCGTCAACCCTGTAAACCCTACAAACCTACCCTGTAAACCCAACCTCATGACCTCTATAAACCCCGCAAACCGTATAACCCCTGCAAACCCAACCTTCCCAACCACCCTAGACCCTGAACCTTGAACCCTAAACCCTGAACCCCAAACCCTAAACCCTAAACCCTAAACCCTAAACCCTAAACCCTAAACCCTAAAACCCAAAACCCTAAAACCCAAAACCCTAAACCCTAAACCCTAAACCCTAAACCCTAAACTTCTGGAACCAAGGAGGTGTCACTCCAGGCTTCGGCGCACCTGCACGCCATGGCTGCCGGGCGCAGATGTTGCTTTTGTTTTTTGGTTTTTGGGGGTTTAGGGTTTAGGGTTTAGGGTTTAGGGTTTAGGGCTTAGGGTTTAGGGTTTAGGGTTTAGGGGTGAGGGTTTAGGGTTTAGGGCTTTCAGTCGGGTTTTTGGAGCTTTCGGGTGGTTTCAGGGTGCCAGAATTTTGGGGTCTGTAAGGTTGAGGGGTGAGACTCCGATGATTTCAAGCCCAGCTGCCTGCGCTGACTCCAAAGCCTGTGATCCTGTCATGGGTTCCCCTACTACCCCACTCGACACTACCCCCTCCTAGATTCCCCCAGAATTCAGGCTATTTAGGCCAGTTAAGCTTAATCAAGGTCATTTAATGGGGGAGCCGGGGGGGGGGGTAGTATAGAGGGCAGTGGGGGAACCCAGTGATTCTAGGGACTCTACCTTCAAATTTGGGTTTGGGGCTAAAGTTTAGGGCCGTATCATGAGCAATATCAAGGGAACCCGGGTCCCTTGAAAGCAAGGCCTTGCTGGACGGCTTCGTCCTCGCGCACATCCGGGCGCAGAAGCTCGACTGTTCTTGAACATTTGGTTGACTTGTGCCCCAAACCCTAAAGCCTAAAGCCGAAAGCCTAAAGCCGAAAGCCGAAAGCCTAAAGCCTAAAGCCCCTAACCCCTAACCCCTACACCCTACACCCTAAACCCTAAACCATAAACCCTAAACCCTACACCCTCAACCCTAAACCCTAAACCGACACCGAAACCCTAAACCCCAAACCCCAATCAGCTAAGGAAAGCCATGGTGCACTTCTTCTGCCATCGAGGCGCGCGCTCCAGCGTAAGCTGCATGAAGGGTGGTGTGTTGAAAGCCTAAGCCCACACCGCAGTTAGACCCTTTAGGGTTTAGGGCTTAGGGTTAAGGAGTTGGGATTTAGGGTTTATGGTTTAGGGTTTGGGGCCCTGCAGCCCCTAACCCCCCCAAACAAAAGCCAACCCACTGTAAACCCGAAAGCCCTGAACCCCTAAACCCTCAAACCCTCAACCCCTTGGGATTCTGGGGGCCAGACGTGCCCGAATGGGCATCGGGTTTAGGGTTTTCAGGGCTTAGGGCTTAGGGCTTAGGGCTTAGGGTTTAGGGTTTAGGGTTTAGGTTTTAGGGAGATTGCTTCAGGGTTTCGGGTTTCGGGTTTCGGGGTTCGAGGGCTGTAGTTTCATGGCTTTCGGACTGTGAGGCTGAGGGCAAGCTGTCAAGCCTCATGTTAGCCCCAATTCCTTCCCTGGTCCCTAAACCCCCAACTTTTACTAAACCCTAAATTTCTACTAAACCCTAAACCCTAAACCCTAAAACCTAAACCCTAAAACCCTAAAACCCTAAACCCTACAACCCTACAAACCTAAAGCCCTAAAACGTTAAACATTAAATTAGTGTTTTAAACCCCAAGCCCTAAACCCTAAACCCTAAACCCTAAACTCCTGAACTAGCAGGCCGCATGGACAGCAAAGAGGTCTGCAGAGTCCTCGTGCAGTCGCAGACCCAGGCCACATGATTAGGGTTTAGGGTTTGGGGTTGGGGTTTAGGGCTTAGGGGGGCCGCCATAGCTTTAAGCCCCGTAGCCCTAAGCCCGGGAAAACCCCAATGTTTCAGGGTTGAGGGTTTCAGGGTTCAGGGTTTAGGGTCTAGGGCTTGGGGTTTAGGGCTTAGGGTTCGGAGTTTAGGGCTTAGGGTTTTGGGGTTTAGGTTTAGGCCCTGAAGCCATCAAGCCATCAATGCGGAAGCCCTAACCACTCTCGAGTGCCCAGTCCCCCCTTCCATGCAAGATGCACATGTTGGGGGTTTAGGGTTGAGGGTTGAGGGTTAGGGTTGAGGGTTTAGGGTTTAGGGTTTAGGGTTTAGGGTTTAGGGTTCAGGGTTTAGGGTCAGATTTGGAGAGCGCAAGGCCCTCTGCTCCGCAGCTTTGGGGTGCTTTCCTGTGTTTCCTCTCACAAGCCCTGAGGCCTACAACTTACTAGACCCCAAACCCTAAGCGCACAACCTCAAACCGCATCAGCCAAACCCTGAATTTGGAAAACCCTCAACTTCGCAAGCCGCAACCCTTGCAAGCCTTAAGCCCTGAATTGTGTCATATTACGCAGCCCCCCCCCCCCCCAGCAAAAAAATCAAAAATGCAAGTCAAACGCCAGGACGACACTTTGGAGAAATTGAGATGACCCCATATATCTTGTTTAGGGTTTAGGGGTTGCCTGCCAGGTGTTCCGGGCGATGAGGGAGTCTGTCGTGGAGGACGGCCACGCCACTACAGACCCCCTTCAGCCCCGAAATCCTCATCCGCAAGCCTTAAGCCCCAGAATTCGCGTAAGCCCAAAACCCGAAACCCGAAACCCCAAACCCTAAACCCTGAACCCTAACCCTAAACCCGAAACCCTAAACGCTAAACCCAACCTGGGCAGAGTTTTGGGGCCTTAGTCCAGTTACACCTGAGATGTGGGGGCGGACGTGGTTGTATGGCAGCGAGTACTCTCTCGTGCCGGTCTTCCTTCCTTCTTCCCTTCCTTCCAACCCTAGAACGCAGAATCCTCAGAATTGAGTGCGCCCTAAACCCTAAACTCAGACGCGTTAAGAAGCCCGGGGCCCCGGGCCTGGACGCATAGCTTCTAAGGGTAGTTACATGGTCCCTGAACGTGGCCCCTTACTTGGAGGTTTACTGTACTGATAACCCACCTACAAGCCCCTTAAGCGCCCCAATATGGTTATAAGTAAAGTGTAAGTACAGTTATAGTCGCTTCTTTAAAGAGTTCTGAAGTATGGGACCTTGGGTTGTACAAGGTGGATAAGGGGTATATAAGGGGTCCCCTTGTAAGGGCCCATAAATCCAGGTCTTTGTGGGCTGATACAGACATCTGCATCATAGGGTTCAAGGTCTGTGGTGTGAATAAGGTTCTGCCTCGTCAGGTTGAACAGGGATCATACTGTTCAGAGTTTATTTCATCGAATTATCGGTTTTCTATTTTGGAACCAGGCGGGTCTTTTCGGAAGCCTGTGGGGGTTTGTAAGTTTTGAGGCTCAGAAGGTTGAGGTTTTAGGTGTTTCGGGGTTTGGGGTTTAGGGCATAATTAGGGGCACACTGCCAAGCTTTCGTGCTGCAGCTTGCACCACCCTGACCCGAACTGAACCCTCAATCCTCGAGCCCGGAAGTCTGCCCTGAACCCTAAATCCCAAACCCTAAACCCTACAACCCTCAACCCCAAGCCCTGAACCCAAAACCCTAAGCCCTAAGCTCTATGCCCCTAAACCTAAACTCCCCAAATGCCAAGCAATCATCCCTCAACCCTCCAATACCAAACCTCCCGTCAACGCGCCGCAGAGCCGCAAACAGAGCAACCTGGGAAGGCCTAAACTTGGGAACCCCAAATCCCAAAGATCCCAAACCCTCAACCCCTAACCTTCCCCAAAGCCCGACATGCCCAGCGGCCCTAAGCCCTAAACCCTAAACCCCAAACCCCAAACCCTAAACCCCAAACCCCAAACCCTAAACACCCCAAAGGAACCACCGATCAGCCCCCCACCCTCTAGGAGGATCGCGTGGGTCGCAGAGCCCTGGGCTGGGTGAGCACGCTGCGGGCACCCCGGGCCGCGTTTTTCCCCGGTGGTTTTTAGGTTTAAGGTTAGGGTTTAGGGTTTCGGGTTTAGGGTTTAGGGTTTTGGGTGTAGTCTAGGCTTCCTCTACGACAAACCCCGCACCTGGAGCCCCAGACCCCCCCTGACCTCCCCTTGGGTGTCGACAGTGACACCCAAGGGTGGAGGGCTCATGCTACCCAGCCTCACCTCCTTGAGCTGGCCTCTTAAACCCTAAGCCCTATAAACCCTCAAAACCCTCAAAACCCTAAACCCTCAACCCTAAACCCTAAACCCTAAACCCTAAACCCTAAACCCTAAACCCTAAACCCTAAACCCTAAACCCTACACACTAAACCGTAGACCCCTAACCCTAAACCCTAAACCCTACTGCCCTGCCAGGGGAGCATGCAAGCGGTCCGCGAGCTGGAGCACTTCGTGCTGGAGGCCTCTCTGGCCAATCCTAAGTATGTAAGGCCTAAACCCTAAACCCTAAACCCTGAACCCTCAACCCTGAACCCTAAACCCCTAAGGCCCCTAAAGGCCCACTGAATGCTCCTAAGGCCCCAAAGGCCACGAACAAAGAAGTAAGTAAGGATCTTTACGTTCTTTTCGGAGATCAACGGCCCCGCCTTTTCGCCTTTTCGATGAAGAATTTAAGGTTGCCCAGGCTACTTGGAGGTTCAGGAAACTCATAACTTATAACCCCAATTCTAACTGTACCTGTAAGCCCCCTAAGTCCTCTAAGTAGGTTATCAGTAGACATGTAATTGGGGTTATACGTACCCATGAACCGCCAAGTAACCCTAAACCCTAAACCCTAAACCCTAAACCCTAAACCCTAAACCCTAAACCCTAAACCCTAAACCCTAAACCCTAAACCCTAAACCCTAAACCCTAAACCCTAAACCCTAAACCCTAAACCCTTGAAGGCCACTGAGTGCTAGGGTTCTTTCGTGCCCGCAGGCACGAAAGATTGGCCTGCTCGCCGCAACTGACATTGAGTCGCTGCTGCAGCCCCTGCTCTCCGGCCGCGATTGCGGGGGCTTTTGGGTTCAAGGACCCTAAGCCCTAAACCCTAAACCCCTAAACCCTATAAACCCTAAACCCTATAAACCCTAAACCCTAAACCCTAAACCCTAAACCCTAAACCCTAAGCCCTAAGCCCTAAGCCCTTAACCATTAACCCTAAACCCTAAACCCTAAACCCTAAACCCGAATCCTCGAGCAAGGCCTTTAAGACCTCGAAGTTCCTAGCCCCGCAAGCCCTCTTGCAAAGGCATGTTGGCCCCAGTTCTAGGACCCTTGGGTTCCCCTTGTAATCCCAACTCAGCCCAGAAGGGTTAGGGTTTAGGGTTTGGGGTTTAGGGTCTAGGGTTTAGGGTTTAGGGTTTAGGGTCTAGGGTTTAGGATTTAGGGTTTAGGGTCTATTGGGGGGCTCCCACTTCATTCCCGGGTTCCTCTGAAAACCTGCTCTTTGAAGCTAGATATGGTTCAAGGGGGGGTTATGTAACCTAAGGTTCCCTCCCCACTACTCCCTAAGGCTCCCTTAAGGCTCCCTAAGCTTCCATAAGGTTCCCTAGGTACCCCCCCCCCCCCCCCCCCCGTGAAAAACCCTAAGCCGTAAACCCTAAACCCTAAACCCTAAACCCTAAACCCTAAACCCTAAACCCTAAACCCTAAACCCTAAACCCTAAACCCTAAACCCTAAACCCTAAACCCTAAACCCTGAACCCTGAACCCTAAACCCTACTAAACCCTAAACCCTACTAAACCCTAAACCCTACTAAACCCTAAACCCTATAAAGCGCCAGGCACGACCACATGGAGAAGCTGGAAAGGCAGTTCCACAAGGCCTTCTCTGGAGAACTGGAGGCGCCATCTCGCAAGTTTTAGGGTTTAGGGTTTCGGGTTTAGGGTTTAGGATGTAAGGTTTAGGCGTTAGGTTCAGGATCTACCTGCTGCTTACGCGAATAGCACTCAAGCACTTCCTCCATCTCCCCTCCTTCCAGCCCCATCGAACCAAACCCTAGGACCGGGATTAGGCCCCTTTTTTCCCTTTTTTAGGGTTGGGGGTCGGTTCCCTTATAATCCCCTCAAAACCAAAAAAGGGTACCCTTTTTATTCCTAGGTTACTCCCGACCAGGTCGTTCCCTCTTCTGCCTAGAACCTTTCACTTAACCAGGGGTGCAAAGTCGGCGAATTTCCTAGTAGCTACCTCTAAGCCTCGACGTTTACGCTTCAGGATGCAGGGTTGAGGAGGTTTCCTACTATTTGCTTAAGAGCCCTAAACCATATAAAAGAGTAATCCCTATATGGCCCTTGTAAGGAATAACCTTTTTTCTAGTTTTTTTTTTGGGGGGGGTTCTTAAGCAAATAGTCGTTTCGGGGAGACTCTGCAGGAGGACGAGGACGACGAGGAGGAAGAGGAGGAGGAGGCAGAGAATGATGAAGATGCCCCGTGGCCTTCCACTTGTATGCTTGGCTGGCCTGCGGGATGGGGCTTTTCCGGAGGTTCAGGGGACTTTCTAGGTGGGTCATCAGGGCTTCAAGTACCCTAAGCTGGGTTGTCCTAATTATATCCACCCGGCGCCCCCCTCTCAAATCCACGCTTTGAGCCGCAGCACACATAGCCAACCCTTTGAGAGCCTAACACCCCTGAAGCCCCTCGGGCCTTCCAGCATACAAGATCGAGAACCTTTAAACCGAAAACCCTAAAGCTGAGAACCCTAAGCCCTATAGACCCGTCTGAACCCTAAACCTAAACACCCCAAACCCTACAACCCTAAATCCCTGAATCCCTAAAGCCTAAAACCTCTTGGGCTCCCACCGAAAGCCCCGAAGCCACCAAAGCCACCCTCGAGCTCCAAGGGTTTAGGGTTTAGGGTTTAGGGGTTATAGGGCTTACGTTTTAGGGTTCATGGGGCCCAAGAAATGAAGCCGAAGCGGTTTAGGGTTTAGGGTTTAGGGTTTAGGGTTTAGGGTTTAGGGTTTAGGGTTTAGGGTTTAGTACCTCTGGCTATGTGGGGATCCCTGCAAGGAGCTCGACGTCTTCCTCGATTATGGGCAATCCAAACCTATGACCGTACGCCATTAATCCGACTGTCCCAAACGCTTCAACTCCTAAACCACAAGCCCTAAACTCCTAAACTGTAAGCCCTAAACCCCAGAACTCCGTAACCCTAAGCCCTAAAACGCTAAACCCTAAACTCCTAAACTCCTGCCCCCTAAACTCCTATGCGGCTATTTGCTTAAGAGCCCCCCCCCCTCCCCCCAAAGAGTAAAAGACGATAGTCCCCATATTGCCCTGACAAGGAAGAACATTTTCACGTCTCGGTGGGGTTCTTAAGCAACTAGTAGAGCCCAAAAGCCCTAAGCTCTAAATTCTAAATTCTACTGTAAACCCCAAACCCTAAACCCTGAACCCCCAAACCCCAAACCCTAAACCCCAAACCCCAAACCCTAAACCCCAAACCCGAAACCCGAAACCCTAAACCCTAAACCCTAAACCCTAACCCTAAACCCTAAACCCTAAACCCTAAACCCTAAACCCTAAACCCCAGCTCATGAACTCTCACCAGTTTACTCCGAGGTCGGCTCTTCGTCTTCCAGCGACTCCGAGGGACCCAGCCAGGCTCGAGGGTTTAGGGTTTAGGGTTTTGGTTTTAGGGTTTAGGGTTTAGGGTTAGGTTTTTTAGGGTTTGGGGGTTAGGGTTTAGGGTTTGGGGTTTAGGGTTCAGGGTTCAGGGTTGAGGATTCGGGGGTTGAAACTTCAGAGTCGAGAGTCTTCGGTTCCAGTTTGGGGTGGGGAGGCAAGTTCTTGTAGACGTTCTTGCAGGTCTGGGTTCAAAAGTTCAGGGGGTAAGACTCTTCGGTTTCGTGTGTGGCGGTGAGGAAAGCAGGCATCCTTCGTCAAGTAGATCTGTTTGGGGCAGTCTGTTCAGCTTTGTCAAGCAAAGAGAAGTCATGCTGAGAAGATGCCGCCAGAGCCGTTCCAACTTCCCTGGCCAAGGGAACCCCGGCCTACTGGCGGGCCGTAGCAAACGGGACAGTTCGCAGCTACATGACGTTGGCAGTAGAACCGAAGACCCAGGACCAAGTTGCAACCCTTGTGTTGCAGTCTAGCCTGGATCCGGGGAGAAGGCCGTCATGGTGTTCCTTGACGTTGAGAACCTCGGAGAAAGCATGGGGCCAAACTGCCAGACATGTTTGAGGCGCAAGTTCGGGGTCATGGACAAGCTGCTCAGGAAGCTTCTTCATGGGGCCATGGCAGGCCGAGGATCAGCGGAACGACGAAGGCGAGGTCGTCCTGAGAACGCCATGGAATCCCTACGCCTCCTGAGCCGGGAGGTGTGCGACATGATTCGGTCAGACCTCAGTGAAAGGGAATCTAGGTCTCCCAGTGGGCCTTTTTTTCCTTTTTGGGGTCTTAGGTTCCTTATAAAACTGCCCAATACCAAAAAAGGGAGCCCTCATTATTCCTAGGTTACTGGGGATCCTAGGAATGGTACATGCTGGAAGTGAAGCTTCGCTTGGCGAGGGTTCTTCTGAAATAGCAAGAGCAGCACTTGCGCGACATGCCAGCTTCCGCATATTAACAGACGTAGAGAAACACCGGCGAAAGCAGACGTTTCGGGTTTGGGGTTTATCTGGGGTTTAGGGTTTAGGGTTTAGGGATTTAAGTTTGAGATAATTCGTCCCTGGTTTTTAGGAACCTCAGAATTTTGGGGCTTAGACGTTTAGTGACGTTTAGCGTTTCAGGGTCTAGGTCTTCTGTTAGGTGTAGGTTCTAGGAACTCAGGAATGTAGGGGTCAGTTCAGGGCTTCTTAGGGTATAGGAAAGTCGGCTCAGAAACTCTGCGGACGTTCGGGCTTACAGGTTTAGGGCTTTCGGGGCTCAGAGGTTTAGGCGTTTTGGGCTTTAGGGGTTCAGGGCTTTCGGGGTATGTCAGGTGTGCTTCAAGGGCAAAGCAGACGCCCTAAACCCTAAACCCTAAACCCTAAACCCTAAACCCTAAACCCTAAACCCTGAACCCTGAACCCTAAACCCCAGACCCAAAAGCCCGGAACCTGGGCGGTCTTTGATCAGGCTGACAAGCTGCAGATAGAGGAGATCTCGGAGGCACGCCAGCTGAGAGTTTTTTTGATGGTGAGAGGTGGGTTTAGAGTTTAGGGTGTAGGGTCTAGGGTTTGGGGTTTAGGGTGTAGGGTTTAGGGTGTAGGGTTTAGGGTTTAGGGTTTAGGGTTTAGGGTTGTGGGCTTAGGCTTCTCCTGAGGCTGCAAGTTCCCATCCCGAACTCCGAAACCCAAAGTGCGTGCTCCGCCCATGCAGTCTCTGAGGCACAAACCCTAAGTCCCACACCCCCAGGCCCCAAACCCTAACACCCCCAGGCCCCAAACCCTAACACCCTAAATACCCTAAGCCCAAAACCCCAAGTTAGGATTGGAGCGGGCTTGCAACTGAGAGAGGGTTGCCCTGAACCCTAAATCCCTAACCCTCAGAAGTCAAAACTCGATACCCTAAACCCTATAGTTCTTTTCGAACCCTGAACCTGAACCCTGAGCCCTGAGCCCTGAACCTTTAAACCCTAAACCCTAAACCCTAAACCTTAAACCCTAAACCCCAAACCCCAAACCCCAAACCCCGGCCCCAAGCCCAAAACAGGTGGAGATGCCTGACTCGCAGGATCCTGGCGCCCATCCGGGGGCGCCTGGCGGCCAGCTGAGCGCGCCTTGGCAAGGGAGCCTCCCACCCCTTCTCAGGGGCTTGCTGAACGTAAACGGAGACTTACAATGTTGGTGTATGTTTAGAAATTACATATATGTGTGTAAATGTATATGTATGTATGTATGCATGCATGCATGTACGTATGTACGTATGTATGTATGTATGTCTGTATGTATGTATGTATGTATGTATGTATGCATGTACGTATGTACGTATGTATGTATGTATGTATATGTATATGTATATGTATATGTATATGTATATGTATATGTATATGTATATGTATATGTATATGTATATGTATATGTATATGTATATGTATATGTATATGTATATGTATATGTATATGTATATACATATATATATATGGTACCCCCCCCACCCAAAACCCACGCTTCCATATGCTCTTGCCTGAAGTCCGACAGATCGGCCTCCCAGTTTGGTCATGGTAGGGTTTTAGAAATTCATTAAATAGTTTACTGAATTTCACTAATTTGTCTAATGTCCTTGATTTCGTTACTTTTAGTTAAGTTCGTTGATTCCAAAAAGCTTAATTCACATAATTAGATCCACTCAGCCATTGCTCGAGCGAGTGCTCAAACAGAAGTGACCTGAACAATTTGC